CATATTGATATTACTAACGAGATCGGGTAACCAATGGATACGGGAAACATACGATTCAAAATCCTAGGCAACCCGAATTTGGACAACAGGTCCAACACGGAAACTAAAACTAAGTGACAAAAAAAAAGAATAATAACTTACAAGAGTATCAATTTGAGTAATGATGTTTGCGTAATGTAAGGCAAGACCAGCAGAGCCTAATTTTTTATGATTGATTGGTGAGTCATTTGCAGGCTTATCAAGATCTGCATATCAGGTAGAATGATCATGATTTGTAGGCATTTGTTACATTTTGGATACCATAAAAAAAAGAATACACTAAATACTCAATCCTCCTGATAGCTGAAATAAGACTAAAACGCTTTATCTAATAAGAACCTCACCCGCACCACCAAAGGCTTCGTGAATCTCCAAATGCAAAAAATGGACAACATCTACGAGTTTCTCCATCACCTAAGCATTATTAGTATTGTCAAGAATTTAGACTGGAGTCCATATGTACCCATAAACTTCACGAAAAAGGAAATCGTAAAGATTTATCAGTTTGCAGCCCTTACCTCTTCCAAGATCCTAGACCAAAGAGATTTTTTCTTTAAGTTTCTTACATGCTTCTTCTGACTCTTTAATTCTGTCCTCAAGATAGCGAGGGTATCTCCTACACCTAGCAAAAATGGAAGGGAAATGAGAACGATAAACAACAAATGAAAGAGAATAGAGTGCAAACAATATCATTCATTTCCAAAGATATATCTAATGGATTTAGTCAATTAACATACATTTCTACATGGTACCTACCTCGTTGTGCTGTGCTTGGGTTCTCCTCTTCCTGGATCTTACGTTGGTAATCTTGTTCAAACCTATCCAGAGCATGGAGCTCATGATACAAGTCCTGAAAGCATAGCAGATAATCAGAGTAAGTCGCCATCAAGAGAGTCGAACAGGACCGAATATCACCAATTTGCATGAATACGTACAGCTGTAAAATGAACAAATGACATCAGCTGGTGCATTATGGTTTCTGCTTCTTCTTTCAAATGTTTCTGGGGTGTAAATTCAGAGCCCAACCTAAATCATAACACAGAACTAATGAAAGGTCAGATTCTTTTCAAAAAGAATAGACTTATTATGTGACCATAGTGACATGAACATGTTGGAACCTGTCAAAGAAACGATCCAGGTTGTGGTATTGAGGATCCTTGCAACGATTCCCAAAACGCACCACCTCTCCAGAAAAAATCCTCAACTCTTCCCTGTTTACGATAAATAATTTTAACTGTCACTTATCTCCAAACCACAAATAGAAAACAGTATCAACACAGAGCATAATCACACACTGTCACCTTTTATCCGCAGCAGCAATTCTCAACAGTTCATCCATGTCTTTCGATATTAAATTTTGAACACCTTCTGAAGGTAACACTCCCTCTTTTAAATGAGTAATGCTATCTTTCGAAAGAGAATGCATAAGATTGGCACCTTTAACAATAGTATTAGCAACTTCAAACGATAAGATAGATATCTTATTCCCTTTAACAGTCGTCGCAGAAGAAAATCCGCCACTAAGATTCAAATTCGTCATACTACTCCCAAGTGTATCCAACACATCCACAGCTTTACCAAGTCCCATAGTACCAGCTCTACCCAAAAGAGAGCTTACTTCCGAAACCTATAAACAAAAACACCTTAGTATAATCCTCTCTCTCTGTTTCACAAAGAATGTCATTCTACAACTTTTCACACAAATTAAGAAAAATGTGAAATTTTCTTTTATGCCTTTTGATAATACACTATAACAGTTTCTCTCTTTAATTAATAAGCTGAAATAGCAACAATATAAAAGAGATTTAGTATTAAAAACTGCATTGAAAACACAAAACGACGTTCTTTGTGAAAAGGAGGGAGTAAATTGGACTGAGAAACTAACCCCACAATTGCTTAACAATTTCTTTACCTTAGCCACAGCAGCTTGTCTAGACTTAGTGGATCTAGATTTCTGAGATAAAACCCTTGATAACCGAGGAATCCCATCCTCGATATTTTGAGGATGAGATCCACCAGAGACTATAGGAAAAGAAAACGATTCCGAAGTATGTTTATTATTAGTATCCACATTCTCCCTAACAGGAGAAGGATCAGCAACATCTTTCTCTCCACCACCTTCACCAGAAGACTGAAAATTCACTTCAGAGCCATTACTATTATTGAGATGACCATTAACATGTGCAAAGCTTCCACCAGGAGCATTATTTACAGATGAACTTCTCGAACAAAGCCCACCCATCACAACAAGTTACCAAATTTGTTATCGAAATTAAACTCTCTCGAAACTCTCCATACGCAAAACCCTAGCAAGTAAGCTAAAGAATCCAAATCAGTAGCTTCAATGAAGAGTCGAGATTACGAAAGACCTAAGAGTCAGAAACTTGGATCTGGGAATCAGATTGAAGTCAGATTCTTCTTCTTCTTCGATACTTGAGATAAGCTGTAGAGAGAAGTGACAAGTTCTGAGCTGAAGAATCGTGGAGATGTCTACAAGGAAAAGAGAAGAAGAAACGCGACTCGAGAAAGAGAGAGAGAGAGAAGAGAGAGTAATTGAATTTTTGGGGTCTGTTGAGAGTTGGAGAGTGTCAGATGGTGAAGTTAGCCAAAAAAATTCAACCCCCAAAGGCCTTTTCTCGCTCGTTTTACCCATTTTTACACTCTTCAAAACTCATCCCATTACACATTAAAAATTTACTATCAAGTTGCAATATATTTGAATTATCAAATACTATTACTCCATAATTAGAATTGTTTTAATTCGTAAAAAAATATTTACATATTTAAATTTATGTTTATATAATTTTTTAAGCGAATTTCATTGAAATTTTTTCAATGAGAATAACTTCAGGAAAAATAGATCATCGATAGAGATTCATCCATTTCAAAAAATGTGAGGTGTCATCATCATCGAATTATCATTACATGTGTCAGAGTATAATTTCATAATTTGCTGTGTGAAAATTTATTTTTATAGGGTTTTCACAACTCGAATCAAGAGTAAATGTTGCTTTCTTTTGTAATTTTTAAACTGTTTTTTTCTTCTGTTTCTAATTGTTTTAATTTAATATTATTTAGACGAAAATAAAAAATTATGCTTATATAAAAAAAGCAAAAGATAAGTTAAATATTTCAAATAGTAAATTAAGTTGTATCAAGTAGTTAATTTTAAAATATTTTACCATTTGGTTCTTTTTGTTGTGTGAATGAAGAAAGTCTTTGGTAAATATTATTGTAGATCCCTGAAATAGAAAAAGAGAAGAAAAATCAGTCAACATGTGTATGCATATCTAGATTTGAAAATGAAAGTTGACTTTTTACCAAATAAAGGACGACAGAATCTAAAGTAGGCTTCAAATTACAATGTTTTACCAAATTACCTATGTGTGGCAATGTCATAATAGCTTTATAGCAATGGTCAAAGGTAGGAGGAAGCTTGAAAGGAAAAATAATTTGTTGATATCATATAGAAAAATAATTGTTATCATCATTTAGTATTTTATTTAAATAAATGGAATGCAATGGCCCATAGCTTATTTATTACATAAAAGATAAAGCTATGAATGATTTGGAACTTCAAATGGTATGATCATTTCTTTTTGGAATATAAATTTGTATTACTCATTGCTCAAAAGAAAAACAAAATTACAAGAGACACTTTTATGTGAATCATATAGAGTTGATGGGTCGTGTTCGAATTCGAACACGAACACATAAGACCATCACAAACCTCGATTTTAATAAATATGATCGCTTATTCTTAGAATTCTAAGAGTTTGATACACAAATTTCACTAAACTCTTACGAATGATAGTAATATTTTGTTTGAAAAATGTTTTCTTATTGTACTTTTATTTTTTTCAATTTGTTTTATTAATATATAAAAAGAAGTCTTAAGATTTCAATAGTAGTAGTTAGTTATCAAAAAAACAGAAATTGCTTCCAAAAGTAGTTTTCATAAACATGATCCTAAACCATTATCAATGATGAGCCAAGTGAAATTATTTCTGATCTACGTATTTAACTGCTAATTTAATGATAATAATTCCTCTTTTTTGGACCAATTCCACGTTTCAACTTGTTCACATTGGTCAAATTTCATCTTTTGAGTGATATTCTTCTGTCTCCATCGCATTTCATTATGAATATTTTTGATTCCACATTTCTTTTTTTGGCTCAAATTTTTGGTCAAATGATTCCACATTTCAGTTTATAATTTTTGTAACTAATTCTTTCGCCCTCACACTCTTAATACAAAGAACAAAAAAAAGGCACCTGACTTATTTATTCTAAAACGCGTTCAAAAATTTATAGTGGTTAGACATATATATGTTTTTTGAAAATTTGTGGGTGACTTTATAATAATTATGAGACTGTATACTATAAATTAACATAATCTATGGGTGTTGGAGTTTGATGATCAAACAAAATGAGATAAACCAACTTTGACAAATAAATATATTCGCGAGGATCGAATTTTATTTACGGCTAATGATGGTAATTGGATTCACATCGTTGAATGTGACGCAGTTTTTATGATTATAAATTTTTATTTTAACCTTTTTCTGGATTTGATGTCTCTAGAAACCAAAATTAAGAGATGTTTAGTTTTTTTTTTTCTTTTTCATTTTAATTTATTAATTTATTAAATTTGTACAAATTGTTTAGTTCCGTGGACAAAATATATTCCCTAAAATTTATTACAAAAAAAGTTATAAATATAACCAAATAAACACAAATGACTTGGAGCTAACAAATGTGGGAGCTTTTGCTTTATTTTTCTTCCCACGACGAGTTTCTCATACTCCCATGACACGACGTACACGCAACAATATTGGAAGAAAATAGAGATCTTAAATTTCTTTCAACCCCGAGATCACATTTATAGTATATGCAATTTTCCCTTGAAGGTCTAAATTCTAATGTGAGAAATGTCATATTAGACTTGTAGTTCTCGCTTCTTAAAACCATTCCACAGCTTTGAATATGCATTTTATCAAAAAAAAGAAAAATAATTATTCCCTTTGCAGTGTTCCTATACAATTATAACGTATGCAATAAGTAAATTAAAATAAATCTAGACATTTTTTTTTTTTTTTTTTTTTTGAATAACCGCGGGTCTTCCAAAGGCTTCCTAAGCCCCCAAGGACTAATCCCACGAGGCTGGCAATTCTCCTATGTAAACCTGCCAGTGGCCGTGCCTCAAACCCTGGTGGCGGAAGTCACAGCTGTGACCCCTTTACCACTAGGCCACAAGGCCCGGTTAATAAATCTAGACATTACTAATCACAATACAACAATTTTTATGATCCAAGCATAGAGCCTTCACTGATCCTAGTGGAAGCCGGTCCAGACGATGTGATCCCCATTGTCTGAAACGACCGTGTAGCAGACGAAGAGGATGATCGAGTCGGACCTGAAGCAACCAACATAGATGCACGGCTTGTGCTCATACTGTTCCCTGAAACCGATACTTCGCTTATGGTCTTTGGACATGGCGGGTTCTTTATCTCTGTGATTCCTTCTAGCATTTGAACCACTTTCCCCATTGTCGGCCTCTGCAATGGCTGCTCTTGTATGCACCAAAAGCTTGTCTTAACCATTCTCATCACTTGTTCCATATCAACTGTTTGATCTTCGCCTAAACGTGTGTCTAGGATTGCCTCGGTGTTGCCCTTTTGAAACTCCTCGTATGCCCATATCGAGAATTTCTTGTGGTTCGTTTTCTCCGAGACATCAAAGTTCCTTTTTCCGCTGACTAGCTCTAGTAGAACCATTCCATAGCTATAGACATCCGATTTTGAGGTTATGGGAAGATTTGCGAGCCATTCAGGAGCTAAATAGCCTCTTGTTCCTCTAACGCTGCTCATGTTGTATCTGTTGTCTTTTGGGTTCAAGAGTTTGGCGAGTCCAAAGTCTGAGACTTTGGCAGCGTAATTGTCATCCACGAGAATGTTCTCGGGTTTAATGTCGCAGTGTACAATGCAGTCGCGGCACTCCTCGTGGAGGTAAGTTATTCCCTTTGCCGTCCCAAGCGCAATGCTAAACCGATACTCCCAAGTCAAGAACTTCCCTGAATCAGTAGTAAACAGGAAGTTATCGAGAGATCCGTTTCTCATGAACTCATAGACGAGAAGCCTGTGTCTTCCCTGGGAGCAAAACCCGATCAGTCTGACTAGATTCAGATGGTGTGTGCTGCTAATGGTAGCAACCTCCATCCTAAACTGCTTTTCTCCTTGCTCTATTCCCTCGAGTTGCTTCACTGCAACCACGGTTCTATTTGTGAGCACGCCTTTATACACAGTTCCAAACCCTCCAGCTCCAAGCTTCTCTTTGAAACTTTTGGTGCAACGCTGCAGCTCCTTATAGGTAAACTGCACAGGTGCACCAGAAGCGTACTCAAGCAAAGTGTAGTGAGACGACAAAGTTCCAAACCGAGGATTCTTTCTACAGCAACACCACCAGAGACCTACCTCTACTGCAACCAAACCAAGAAGCCCAGCCATTACAGCAACTGCGACAATCCACAAATGCACTTTCGAGTTGTTACTGTCAACTTTTGTTGCAATCAAAGGTGGGTTAGAAACCACTGGAGCACACACTTTAACATAAGAAGTACTCGGAACCGATGGCCTCTGATACCCGGTAAAGAAGGAACCGGGTTGTTTTTGCCAACAATTGCCTGACCCATCAGACATCGAGACAGAAGCAAGACAAGTAACGCTACTAAGACAATTAGCTCGACAAGGCGAACTACCCGCAAAGAAAATTTCCGAGTTTGGATCGTTTTCGTAAGTAAATAACCTTGTGTGAGGCAAATCAAGCATGGTTGTGTTGCCAGAGCAATCACTTAGCTCCACTTTTCTTCTGCATCCCTTTCTTCTATCATTCACATTAACAAAATCAAAGTTACCAGACGGACACGAGCAAATCGGATTAGTATCGTTGTAACTACAAATCCCAAAGTTCCCACAATATCCATAAACAAGGCACTGATCAACAGCAGACCAATGAGCATTCACAGGTCCACTGTTTCTACTCGCAGAACTGTAAATTCTCAAATTCCCATCATCCAACTTCAAGAACCTAAAAGTATCGCTATCACCGTAATCGCCACTGTAAACGGTGTCAACTCCGCCACGAAGATTCGAATCGAAGATCGACACAACTCCATTAGTCCGTAATACTAAACCTAAGCTCGGAGACGATAGGTTCGAGCTAATCGAAGAATTGAGACCAAGATTCCAGTAAATCGTGCTAGTGTTCCACCTAAGAGTAAGATTCCCACTTGTCTCTAACTGAAACGAGTAAAGACCAGATCGGAGAATCTTACCGACGGTGAAATTCTGCGATTGGACGATTGTATCCGTCGGATTATCGAAGGAAGACCAAACCGGAATGCTTCGGTTGTTGCGGAGAATAAATTCACCGGAATCTTCAATCGAACCGGAAGTAACACCGAGACGATCTGTTCCGGAATCCCAGATGGTGGTTCCGGAGCCGTTGGTGAGGCGGAGGGAGCCGGAGGTGAGAAGACGAAGAGATCCTCGTGAGTCAACGGTTCCCGCTGACCATATCGGAACGTTTCCGGCGAAAGAAACGGCGGCGAGGAATGAATTAGGTGAAGAAGCTGGAACAAAGGAGACGGAGAAAGTGGAATTTGGAGATGGCCAATTCTGGTTGGAACCGGAGGCGAAAATAACAGAGCCGAGAGGTATGGTAGAGGATGATAAAGGGAAGTGAAGGAGAAGCAGAAGAAGAAGAGGGAGAAGTTTGAGAAATGGCGTCTTCTCCGCCATTGTTGCGATTGTGAAGCTTCTTCTCTCTCTCTCTCTCTCCTCTGTTATCAACGAAGACTGAAATGACTTTTGTTTTTCTCTTTAATTAATTAATTACTCTCAGATAGTCTCCAAAGTTGACATTTCAAAATTAGACACCAACTGAAACAACAAGCAGTTTTATAGAGGAGTATCAGAACGGTAAACAGTTTTCAAAACCCTACAAGTAAAACGGCAGGTCGATTTTAGTGTGTGCCTCTGACTCAACTAGAGGATTCAAAGTTACAAGAACCCATCTCTCTTGTGAAGCAAAAGCAGAGATCTTTCATCGAAGATGGTTCCTAAGATCGCATCAATGGCGACTAGACCTCTCTGCTCACTTCCTTACTTATTCCTCTCTTTCTCTCTCCTCTTCGTCGTCTCGCTTCTCTTCTTCTTCTCCAATTCCTTAATCTCTAACCCAAATCCGAGAATTTCACACAATACTCTCCAAAACGGTATCAATGTCTTTGTAGCTGAGCTTCCAAGATCCCTAAACTATGGTCTTCTCGATAAGTACTGGTCCTCTTCTTCTCCAGATTCACGCATACCCAGTGACCCAGATCACCCGACCCGTAAAACCCATTTACCCAAACCCGGTAAATACCCACCGTACCCAGAGAATCCGTTGATTAAGCAATACAGTGCCGAGTATTGGATCATGGGTGACCTCGAAACCTCGCCGGAGAAACGAATTGGATCTTTTGCTAAAAGGGTTTTCAGTGAATCTGACGCTGATGTAGTCTTCGTGCCGTTCTTTGCGACGCTTAGTGCAGAGATGGAGCTTGGAAATGGTAAAGGTTCGTTTAGGAAGAAGAATGGTAACGAAGATTATCAGAGACAGAGACAAGTTCTTGATTTTGTCAAGAACACTGAAGCTTGGAAACGATCCAATGGTCGTGATCACGTTTTTGTTCTAACTGGTACTAAAGTTTCTCTTATATATGAAAGTTCATGTCTGTGTAACTTGTTTGGACTTAGTTTGACAAATCTGGATCTTATAGTTTATAGATTTGAGTGAGTTTTTCATGTGGGTGTATGTAGATTTGGTTTAGAAGCTTATATAAGTTATATGTGTGGATTGTGTGTCAGGTTAAGTTAAAATGTTGAAGCGTTCTTTGGCAGACCCTGTTGCAATGTGGCATGTTCGTGAGGAGATTGCTTTATCGATTCTTCTTGTGGTGGATTTTGGAGGATGGTTCAGGCAAGATTCTAAGTCATCTAACGGGACTAGCTTACCTGAGAGGATAGAGCATACTCAAGTCTCTGTCATTAAGGATGTGATAGTTCCATATACGCATCTGCTTCCTAGCCTAGATTTGTCTCAGAACCAGAGACGTCATAGCCTTCTTTATTTCAAAGGGGCTAAGCACAGACATCGGGTAATCATTTTTACGAAAATCGCTTCTTTATTTTGAGTCTTTAGATTGCTTTATGCAGAGACTCTTTTGAGTGGTAATGGCTCATGAGGCGTTATAGAGCGAATGTACTGGTGTTTTGGAAATTCTAGTGTCACCCAATCTTGGAAGGACTTAGGCGTCTTGTGTTTGTTTGCTACGTTTGCGCATTCATGTGTATTTTTTCCTAATAAATCCATAACATTTAGCATGTCAGACAAATTTCTTTTGGTAAAAAGTATATACATTTCACATGTAAATGCAAACGCAGAAATTGACATTGGAAACAATCGCAGCCTAAATTGAATTTATTAGTCTTCCGTATTCATAGCAAAATGATCTACTCTTTACTAAGTTTTTTGGTATCAAGATCTCTTAAATAATGTGAATAATTTTAACTTGACAGGGAGGGTTAATTAGAGAAAAGCTATGGGACTTGCTGGTCGATGAACAAGGCATTGTCATGGAAGAAGGTTTTCCTAATGCAACAGGAAGGGAACAATCGATAATAGGAATGAGAAACTCAGAGTTCTGCTTACATCCAGCCGGTGACACTCCCACTTCATGTCGTCTCTTTGATGCCATTCAAAGTCTATGCATCCCTGTGATTGTCAGCGATACCATAGAGCTCCCGTTTGAGGGAATAATCGATTACTCAGAATTCTCGGTCTTTGTCCCTGTAAGTGATGCATTAACACCTAAATGGTTGGCTAATCATCTCAGAAGGTTCTCTGAAAGAGAGAAGGAAACATTCAGAGGTAGAATGGCAAAGGTTCAGACAGTTTTTGTGTATGATAATGGTCAAGGCAATGGGATTGGACCAATTGAACCCAATGGTGCGGTGAATCACATATGGAAGAAGGTTCAGCAGAAGGTGCCAATGGTGAAGGAAGCGGTGATTAGGGAAAGGAGAAAACCAGCAGGTGCTTCCGTTCCACTTCGATGTCAATGTATCTGAATTATGTAACCAAATCCAAAAGATAGAAAGTGTTCTTTTATTTTTTGTCTCTTCTTTTGTACTACCAACATTGTCAACATTGTTATGGCCACTTTAAAATGCATGTTCCCTTGGGTTCACCAAAAATATTAAACCATATAAGAGGTTTCTTTCAAAATATTATAACCACTGAACACTAGTGTCAACGCGAGGACTTGACTGCATTTGGATCCATGACTTGCTCGTTCATGTGGTTGGATCCAATGGTCGGGTTTTCGAGTTGTTCAACTATCTTCGACTGATAACTTGGGTCGAATATCGTTAAGGGTAGGGGTGGGCATTCGGGTATGCGGGTCGGGTTCGGGTAAAACCCGATCGGGTACGGGTCTTTCGGGTAGAGGAGTTTAGGACCCAATAGGGTAAATCTAAAATATCGGTTCGGTTTCGGTTTGGGTCTAATCGGGTTCGGGTCGGTTCGGGTTTAGATTTTTAGAACCGCTAAATACCCGAAAAAATCGGGCACCCATCGGGTTCGGGTATTTTATACCCAAATACCCAAAATTTTACCAAATACCCGAATTTTACCCGAAATTTTACTCTAATATCCGAATTTTATCCGCAATTTTACTCAAATATCCGAGTTTCACCCAAAAATTTATCCGAATAACCGGAATTTTGTCCAAATATTTAAAAAATTTACAAGCATCTCGCGTATTTATATATTTAGTCTTAAATATATAAATATAAGTGCATTTAATTTTTGGTAATTACTCTCGGATATTTGGATATAAATGTATTTAGCTCAAATATTACATATATATAAAGTTTTTATATGTATAAGTATAAGTAATTTCGGGTAATCGGGTACCCGTTCGGGTATCGGGTTCGGATCGGGTTTTACCCTATACCCACGGGTACGACAATACAAGACCCAATAGGGTAAATAGCTAATACCCGTACCCGCCCCGAACCGGTTTTTTCGGGTCGGTTTCGGTTCGGGTACTCGGGTACGGTTTTTTTGCCCAGGCCTAGTTAAGGGATTGCAAGTTGTAGCGGTTAGGCTAGTGACTTGAGGTTACCAAATACAATGCTTTGACAAACAAATGTAACAATAAACACTTTCCTTTTCTTCTTTCTTATACAAAAACAATACTTTCACATGTACCAACTGACACTTTGTTTTTTTTTTTTTAAGTACAGACTTTCACTTGCTTGAATCTGCCTTTCAATGAAATGGAGAAAAGACAGACACAAGAGACAATCCAATCACTTAAAATCTACCCCAGAAACTTGCTAAAAAACTGCACAATGATGGGGTAGATAAAAACTGGAGCTGTCTCTATATACATGTGAAGTTTAATCAAATGAAAGAATCATATGAGAGATTTTTTTTTTTTTGTCAAAATATATATATATGAGAGATTAGACCGGGTATAAGCAAATATCTTCTACTTTCAAGCTATAATCATATGCTTTTTGCCCTTAAAAGTCCCCTTGATCGCACCACTGGTCAGGGACGCACAAGAAATGTGTCTTCATGAATTTCCTGAACCTCGTCTTGTAATCAATCGGGCTGATCACTGTCGGCTGCACATTCTTTGGCACCACCAAAGACGATTTCACCCATGTCTCTAACTGCTTGTCCCATGTGTATTGTCTCAGATAATCGATGATCCCACACACTAGCTCATGATTCTCATCATCAACTCCAACCAGCAGCGAGTAGTCCATCACGTTTATGCTCTGTGATTTGTTTTCCATTTATGATAAGTGGATTGTGTAACACAATAGAAACTGAACTAAGTGAACATATGTATGATATACTGAGAGAAAGAGAGAGATGATAAAAACTCACGGTTAGGAAGCTGGTGTCATTATAAACCGCTCTTTGGAGATTTTGCTTTGATGTTTTGCTAACGTAAAGTGGGGATTTGTTCATGTCATTGACAAAGTTCTGATCCAATAGAACATCTTCTGCGCCATTAGCAGAAGTGGCTGTAAACCGAGCATGCAGAGCGCCTTTGAGATCATACTGGCGAGTAACTTTTCTGCCAAAACTGAGATTCTCCATCACCATCAGGTCGTGCCGTATCTCTTTCCCACCACCCTTTGGCTGCCTTACAGTTACCTGAAAATAGCGATCAAAGATCCTTCAAACTAAGCCCTATCCATTTTATACCGGTAATTAAGGAAAATGCTAATGGTCAAATGATCAAAAGATGATTCTAGAGACATTACCTGATGGATCCCAAGAACTTTGGCAAGACAAGTCTGGTTGCCTAGATCATACGAGTCCTTCATGTATTTGAAATACTCCGGAGCAAATGTCACAAATGATTCATACTCTGTCTTCTTGATCTCTTTTACGATGAACCTATCATCCAAAGTCTTAGCGAACACGGATTTGCTCTTCCCACCCTTAGCATCCCATGGCTTACAACGGCTTAGTGAAGCTATATAATCAAGCTCTGATGAACAACAGTGTTTTCTGAGCTCGCGGAAATCATCTGCATATAGGGACACGATAGAGTATTTGGGTTTTCCAATTGATTTGAGTGACCCAAAAGTAACAAGGACCTCTGGAGGGGGTAGTGTTTCCAACCGATTTGTACTCTCACTCGAGAAACGGGAAACCTCACAGTCAGTTTGCTTAGAATCTTGATTATTATCTAAGAACCCTTGAAGAGATCCATGTATACACCTTGAAAGAGGCTTTCTGTTCTCATCATTGTTCAGGTGGGCAAGCGCGCAAGCAATTAGGCTGGACAGCTCATCTTCATAGTCTGACACAATGAAATCATCATCCTTCAAAGAGATGCGCAGACGAGAACTTTCCTCAGTGATTATCTGGTTCACCGTCTGTAGGTTTTCTTGGGTAAAGTTGTTAACATACTCAAATTTCAACAAGTATTCCTTCTCAATATCGACAATCCGCTTCGAACGTAGCTCTTCAAATGGCAGCCAAAACCACTCATCCCAACCTAAGATGTATGGCCCATTAGAGGCAGCAACCTCATCATCCAATGAATCTCCAGTAACTGGAATTGATTTGTCCGCTTCTTTTCCATTGGTTGAATGGACATTAACAGCCAAATGAGTGTCGAAATGATTGTTGATGGGAGAGGTTGAATCGGGACTGGAGCTGCGCAAAGTTTGTGATTCATTGTCTTCAGGCACATACGATTCTTCCATCTGATCATTGTCCCCAACAGACGCTCCAGCGATTGGTATATCTTTGTCTTCAACAACTGGAGTGTCCATGACTCCATTGCTACCAGAATCAGAAACTTTGTCATCATTTTCATATCTGGTCATTCCAGCCTCGGAAACAGTCTTCAAACCTTGTTCATTTATCTCCGTCTCATCATTTGAAGGTAGCAAACGATCAGATAAAACCAGCGACTGTAACCGATAGTTCCAGATGAGAGCTTGAAGCAGAAGTTCCCACCTCATGCGGTTTAAGCGGAGCAGTCTGTGTGAAACATCATCTATGGTTTTAGCCTTGTCAAACGAGTTCTTGATGTTTTCCTATTTGTAGACAATAGATATTAATAAGCTTGTCTCTAGCACTTAACAAAGATAGTTGTATACCATATGCAATTGTCACAAAGCTAACCTCAAATACGTGACGCTCGTGCTTCAGCAACTCCTCAATGTTAGAAAGGAGTTTGTGTGCACGCTGATATCTGAGATCTGAATTGAATTGTGATCTTAGTCTCTTAAGAAAACCAGTAGCGTCTCCGAACAAAGAGATCCCTTTAGTGAATACCTGAACAAGAATATAGAAACAATCAGCACAAAATTGATCATCTTGCGTATTCATTTCACAATTTTTTTTGCCAGCCCCTTGGCCCAAGCAAGACATACTATTTAGCAGACAAAGTAAACTGAAAAGAAAGCTGATGATGCAATATTTGTTTCTAGCATATGAGAAAATACAGCTACAATACTGTTTACTCAGAATAGAAACTTACTATTTGGAATTCTTTCTCAAGCCAACCAGCTTTTATTAAAATGCTAGATTCCAGCTTCATGGGTGGCAGAGACACTGTGTAGGATGTGACTTGGGAGTAACTGAGCATAGCAACCATGGAGCCTAATCTGCAGTTGTGTACAAGTTTAAAGATAATGAGAGCTCGCAAACCATCATCCATGTTACAAAGTTCCCAAAATTTTCATCAAATTTACGTTGTAGCACTAAAACCAAGAATATATGGACTTAAAAAAACTAAGCCTTAAACACTTGACTGATGATTAATTACTTGGTAAGAACATGTGAAATTGTGAAGCAACATGATCAAAAAACATACCCAAAGAAGTGAAGGAAGTCACTGTCGAAAGAGTGCCCACAGCTAGACGATCTATTCAGAAAAGTGTGCTGAGAAAAGCTGAGCTCCAAAAACTTTCCAAATGACAAGCTACGAGCAGCAGTTGATATTAGCACTCGTTTTGTTGATTTCCGGGACGAATTCTTTGTTTTACACTTTCCACAACGACTCCACATCCAGATTTTTCCTTTTGCCTCACCTGACAAACCTTTTGCTACCGGAATTCGCTTGATTTGGATTGTTAGTTGCTTATTTTGATGAGCATAATAGTAAAGATGTGCCTCCGGAAATTCATTGCACGTTTGGCATAGGTTTCTCTGCATCATGAAACAGTTCCATAAAGCAAATTTGAGCCACAAACACAGATGAATCTTTGCATATGAACAAAACAGCATTTTATTTAAAATTTACAAGAGCACCAGAGTCGAACCTGATTAAACATATCGCGCAGGAATTTTTCCAAGGGAACATCAAAGTGTTTGTAAAACTTAATGTGTGAAAAATGCCTTTGGTCACACATTATCCCCCTAAGGGTATTCCTCTTTGACACTAAGACCAATATACTCTGAGACTCCAAGGTGCTCTCAATATCATTCTCCGTTTGCGACTTGTCTCCATCTTCTGAACTCGAGTTTACTGGAATCTCAGGATCAAATAACATTGGTTGTTTATCCTCATTCTTTTCTTCAGTATCTTCCGCAGATTCCCTTATCGAATCAAGATTGCTGACATTCGATACATCTTTATCCACAGAAACTGGAACTGACTCCGGATTTTGAACAAAGCCTAAATATTTACTTAATCTGGCAGATAAAGATGAGAACCCAGTGAAAATAACTGGATTATATGGCTCGTGAGAGAACACATGATCTCCATCTGATTCCCAAGTTCCAACTTTCTCACCATCTGCTTCCCCATTTATCTGAATAGATTGTTCATCGAATCCATTATACACTGGAATATCAACTGCTTCAGAGGCAGATACACGAGGAGAAGGAGATAGTGGAAGTTTTTCAATTTCCACATCCACAACACATGATGTAGATTCCTTTGTAAAGATGGTTGAGAACATTGTATGCCGATCAGCAAGGAAAGAAGCCTCAAGCATTAGATGATATGCCATGATAAATGAATATTGTACTACTTCTTTGACCTTTTTCAACCTATCACTGTGGCATCCTTTAAGTAAAATCTGCCACATATCAGAATGTCAATATTAAAATGCAAGAAAGTCTAAGGTCAAAGTCACAAATTCAAATTTTGAATGAATTCCTCAGTTGATATAATGGGGATAAGACTTTCATTCAGAGGAATATTGTTACTAAAGTAGAGATATCTAGTAGCATTAATGACTTATGATACTCCAAAATCAGTCAAGAACTCACCGTGCAGCCAAGGCGGGTAGGGCAACCCTCTAAAAACATCAGTGTTTTAGTTGGCTTCTTCTCGGATTCGCCCACAGCGTTATGCTCCTCAACTATTTTCTCGATGCGAAAGGAATCACAATGCTTTAACTTCTGACTAGACAGAGAGTCAACTGACAAAATTGGTGAACCAATGCATCGAGAAATTCTCTGTAGACGGTGGAGCTTCATGTCAAACACCAGAGTGACCCCTTTATCAAGAATAGACTTTTGGATATCACGTGAAACAGATTTTTCCACCAGCATGACGTCCGGCTTGGAAGCTTCTATGATATCAACAACAGGCTTCACATACTTCAGTTGATAATCATTGTCCTGTTGGCAATAATAAAAAAATAAAATCATAAACTAACAAATGAAAGCTTTCAAACTGATGAATGAAAAATTACGTTGCTTCCCGAACCTGATTCACTGATTGGAGAGACGAAAACCCACTTATCGGATGACCCAGTACTCCTTCGACTAACATTATTCGAGGATGCTCGTACTTAGTTGCCATGTGTTTAAGAGCGGCATGTTTCTTGAAAACAAGGCCTTTGAAAACTTCACTGCAAAAGTGAACAATTATTAGAAGAGTACCAGTAGATAGAAACTGAATTTAAAAAACACCTCAAAGAACCTCAATAATGCAAAGTCTAAGCAAAAAATGGGTAAATTGTAATACCTGTCAATGCAAGAACCAGTTGCTATGCATTTCACTTTGATGTACTCAGTAGGATCAACAGATTTGCCGTCAATAGCTGGCTTCAACATTGAAGCAGCCTCCCAGCATAACCTAGCAACAATCTCTATCCAATATCCACTTTCTTCTATAGACAACCCAGCCGACTTAATAAGGTGACTAACAATGAACTTAAACTTTGAATTTGCCTCCTCAAGCATCACTCTTCGATTTTCTTCATAAACCTTTCTCTTTTCACTACTTTCCTCACTCAATTCCCCTAATAAACTTGCTTTGTTCCACTTAGAGCCATCACAGCAATCATCATCATCATCGGCAAAAACACCATCTACTTCATCTTCTGGATTTTCCGGTTCCGGAGGCTCCCAAACTGGAACATCATCACTATCATCTTCACGATCAGATAAAAACTGCACATTCTCAACACCATTTCCTTTCGATTTTTCATCCAAAATATCTAGAATATCACTCGGCATGCTCTTGGACTTACGCTCTAACCGATCTACCTTATGCTCCATATCATCTTGACTACTATGACTTGAACATTCATCTTCATTACCCCTAACAAAAGATAACAACAATCTTGATCAAACATACTGTTTCTCAACATTATCAAATCCAATACAAAAGAGTCATGTTTATTAGTCTCTTACCTATCATTTCCATCAACCGAACACTCACCTGACAAAAAAAAAACATTATCCAAACCATAAGATTCATCAAATAACCATTTAAACGCGTGTTCGGGTGATTCAAATAGCAGAGAAAAAGAAATCCATACCAGAAAGAGAGCGTTCACTACTAGACAAAGACTCAGTAGGCGTCATCAATGGAGATTCAGTAACACCACGGTCCACAGGACCAAGAACACGAGAAGTAGCCACCTATTTAAAATCAAAGAAAACGCGTAAGCGTAAAATCATCATCATCATCATCATCACAAGATATATATATATATATATATATATATGTAATAAATCTACCAAATCACAAATCCTGAATAAGGAAAATAAAATATCGACCGACGGAGATTTGATATGCCAAAATCAAAGACGCATAAATTTCGGAGAAGATCTAAGAATTAAGGAAAATAGAAAATCCACTCAGATTTTGAATCTCTCTGTCAATAACTCTCTACTACGAAACAATGAAGAACAGAGACGAAATCAACAATCGAAGACTCGAATCGAAGTCAAGTCGAAGAGTGAAATTGATTTTCAAATTTTCAGTTCAACGGAATCGTTAATCACCGGAAAAAAAAAACAACGAATCTCCGGAGAAAGCAAACAAGACGTTGAGAATGACTCACCGCGGAAGCAAAAGAGGAATTTGGAGAAGAAATTGAGTTGAAAAGGTTGAAGAAAACTTAGAACATTTGAAAGATTCTTTGATGGTTTTTGCCTTCACTGTGAAAACAAAGAGAGAAATTGAATTTATCTTGCAGAGAGAAATGAAACGAGTCCGACGGTGGAGAGAAAGATTGGAGACGAAGTTTGAAGAAGAGAGAAAGGAGAGAATAATATTTCCTTTTATTATATTTAAAACCTGTGGGGTCCACTTTTACTGTTCTTCTAAAATTTTTTTATTTTATTTTAAATTATTTAATAAAATATATTTTCTTAAACCATTTTTTCTCTATTTTTTATTTTGGTCTTGGCCGTTAAATCTGTTTACATATCTTTCTTTTTTTTTTTTTTTTTTTTGTCAAAGAATCTGTTTACATATCTAAAAGACAAATATATTGACAATATTTCTTTACTTTTTTCACTGTAATAAGACTATGGAATTTTGTAAAAGGTCACAATTATTTATAAAAAATTATAATTTATGATATTCAGAACACTAGAAAAAAAAGGGTTTTATTCTAATATGGTTAGTTTTACTAATTAGTAAAAAGAGATGTTTAGTCGCAATTGAGTTTTTATTTGTACGAATAGTTGCTTCGTTTGCTATACTGTGCTTTGACTAAATAAATAAATCCTAATAAATTTCCAAAATTCAATGGATATACATAGTGCATGTACTACGATCAATGAAGTAGATGGGTGAATGTGAAAAGAAAAAAAGAATAGAGTAATTTTATTTTTGTCTAGTAAAAGTAAGTAATCTATAATTTTTTCTACTACAATTTTCATTGGTACAAAAGTTTTTTTTCTAATTTTGGGATGATATACATAATTTAAAAAATTAAATTGAGCGTTTTTTTATTACTTTGTTGACATCGCCTAAAGATAAAAACAGTAGTAAAAAGATTCCAAATATAATGTTAAATATCAAAATAATGATTAGGTATTTGTCCGATATTATGCATGATTTTTACAAATAGTAAAGACGTTACTAATATATAATTAATGTTTTTTTTTTTTTTGTCATCCGAAATTAATTATAGCTCAAAAGAGCAATTCCTGAAGAATGTTGTTTACATATGTGATATGAAGCGGTTCTGTACGAATTTTTCGTGCCAGATTATCCGCTTTTACATTAGCATTTCGAGAAATTAAAGATAAAGAAAAGGATGAGAATTCTTCCTTGTCACTCTGGAATTCTTCCAAGTATACTGAAAACGTCGGCCATTCGGTTGGAGAAGACACCATCTTCACCAGATCAGAACAGTCTGTAAGAAACGCCACTTCTTGATTATCTGCACCAATCATACACTTCATCGCCCATAGAAGAGCCTCGAATTTTGTATGTAATGGAGATAGACTTCTACGGAGGTTGGCAGCTCCCATGGTTGGCGGCTCTCCGGTTGATGATGTACAGAACCATCCTATACCGGAGAACTTATCACTTTCTTTCCACGATCCATCCACAAAGCAACGACATCCACAATAATTCGAATCAAGTAAAGCATCCCCCACTCGAGAACGATTTACCAAATCCACAATACCATTAGTTTCATGATGAAGCTCGATTTGGGCTGACTGCCACAATTGTGCTTCTTTTTCCGCTAACCGTAATACCTCTAACGGATCTTTGTCAATATTTTCAAAGATTTTTTCATTTCTTGCTTTCCAAATATACCAGATAATCCATGGAAAGGCTGAAGAATCAAATTCCGAAGGTATTCTCCAAAATAAGTGGTCCAAATTCGCAAAAATAGACTTCGTTGGAAAAATTTCCATTGGCGTAGGAATCTGGGAAAGTGCCCAAACCTGTCGTGCCGGGTGGCACTGAAAGAGTGTATGATTGATTGTTTCCACTGGTTCGCCACATCTGGCACAGCCTGTGTCACAATCAATTCCTCTTCTCCGCAAATTTTCCGTAACTGGTACACAACCCGTTAAGATTTGCCATAAGAAATGACGTATCTTAGGCGGACATTGCACTTGCCAAGAATGTGCTTTTAACGGTTTGATATCTGGGCTAATCAAGGATAAATTGGTCTCCAACCTTTCCAACCTTGTGGTATGATATCCCGATTTGACTGTGTATTTTCCGGATTTTGTAAAATGCCAACCTAGTGTATCTTCCTTAGTAGGCGCACCCACAGGTAGGGCACTTATTAGGGCGACATCTTCTGGATCAAAGATCTCTTCTAAGAGAGCAATGCTCCAAAAATTCGACCGACTATCCAAAAGATTGTTAACTTTTAACAATGGGTCAACAAGTGAACCATTACTCTTTGCTGGTCTCGGGAATTGAGCTGGAATCCATGGATCCTCCCAAACTGAGATGGATGTCCCCGATCCGACCCTTTTAATAAGTCCTTTATTAACCAGAGATCTAGCTGAACAGATACTACGCCATCCATATGATGGGGAGTATGATTTTATATTTTCCAAGGGATTGGATTTCCAAAAATACCGCCCTTTAAACACCTTCGCGAAAAGAGAATTTGGAACCGTAATCAACCGCCATAATTGTTTGGCTAATAGGGCTGAATTAAAATCGTCTACATTCCGAAAACCTAACCCTCCTTCCGATTTGCTATTACACAACTTGTTCCAAGCCATCCAGTGCATACCTCTGGAATCCCCATTTGAACTCTACCAAAATTTAGCAACCGCACTAGTAAGTTTAGAATTGATTGTTTTTGGTAGTCTGAAGCAAGACATAACATAGGTTGGTAATGTTGCAGCTACCGATTTAATCATAACTTCTTTCCCACCTTTCGATAAAAATTTCGCCGACCATCCGTTAATTCTTGTTTGCAATCTATCTCTGACAAAAGAGAATATTTTTGTTTTAGATCCACCCAAACTCTCCGGCAAACCGAGATAAGATCCCATCCCACCGATATTAGTGATTCCCAAAGTAGATTTGATTTCTTCTTTGATATCCTCATCTACTTTATGTCCAAACTGAATCGAGGATTTTAAAAAATTAATCTGTTGTCCTGAGAAAGCTTCATACTTTTTTAAAATCCCCAAAATTACCTCACGCTGGTCCTTGTTTGCTTTACAAAAGAATAAACTATCATCCGCAAATAACAGATGTAAAACCGAAGGGCTTGCATTTGCTATCTTGATACCCGTAATTAGTTTTTCCCTTTCTGCTTTCCGAATATTTGCAATTAGCACCTTTGTACAAAGGATGAATAAATAAGGAGATAGCGGGTCTCCTTGTCGTAATCCCCTTTCTGGTACAATTAGTCCTCTAGGTTGCCCATTAAGGAGCACTCTATATTGAACTGTTGTAATACACCACATTATCCAGTTAATCCATTTCTCGCAGAAACCCAATTTTCTTAGAACATTCTCAACAAAAATCCATTCCACCCTGTCATAAGCTTTACTCATATCAGTTTTAATGGCCATAAATTTTCCTTTACATGACGGGTTAGTTCTCAACCCATGAAACATCTCTTGTGCAATAAGTATATTATCCAAAATCAATCGTCCTTCGACAAAAGCTGATTGTGTTTCCGAAATCAGTTTTGGTAAAACCGTTTTAAGTCTTTGACAAAGAATCTTCGATATAATTTTATAGCCCACATTGCATAGACTTATAGGCCGTAATTCCGTCATCCGTGTCGGTCTTTCCATTTTTGGAATCAGGCAAATATTTGTCGTATTTAACCGTTTGTCGAAAATCCCATTCTCTAAAAAAGAATTAACCAGAACAAGAAGATCTGATTTAATTGTAATCCAAGCCTTTTGAAAAAATAAGGCTGTCATACCATCGGGTCCTGGCGATTTTTCTGGATGCATCATAAACAAAGCTGTTCTCACCTCACTCTCCGTAGCAGGTGCCGTTAGAAAATTATTAACCTGATCCGTAATCAGACTTTGTATTTTTGCCAAGGACTCCTCAAAAGCCTCAAGTTTAGTTGTAGTAAACAGATCCTTAAAATAAGAAACCGCTATATTTTGAATATCTTTATCCTCTGCAGACCAAATCCCGTTTTCATCATGCAGCCCAGTAATCCGATTCCTCGCCCGTCTCTGTTTTGTTAGAGCGTGAAAGTACTTTGAGTTATCATCTCCTAGTTGCATCCAAGAGCACCTACTTTTTTGATACCAGTACAATTCCTCATCTCGATAAGCTTCTTTCAACCGTAATGTTAATTCCGTAATCTCCTCCCGTGATCTCCTGTCATCCCTCTGTGCCACATGTAATTCCGATTTAAGTTCCTCAATTGTTTGCCGCCCATAAGGAGTTAGTTTTTTCCTCCATTGCGAAATAGCCCGTCTACAGTTATTCAACTTTTCCACGAATTTTCCTTCTCCTAATTCAGGCTCCGAATTCCAACCATTTGAAATTGCTTCCATTAATCCCTCTTTTCCAATCCATCTCTTATCAAACCTAAAGCTTCGTTTCCCACGTGGTATCTTTTCTAATAACGTAGCTACCACAGGTGAATGGTCGGAAGCAACCATTGGTAAATATTCAACGAAAGAATTGCAGAATAATTCATGCCAATTTTCATTCGCTAGAGCTCTATCCAAACGACATCGTATTGGTTTTTTATCCCGCCAACCCCGCCAGGATAACCAGTCTCCGATATATGGAAAATCCAATAGACCGCAATTTTGAATCATTAAATTAAAAGGGATAAACGAAGATGCATGTCTTAGAGTACCACCTCTTTTCTCATGATTTCCGGTTAACTCATTAAAATCACCAATTAAAAACCAGGGTGTATCCCAAGTCAACCCGATCCGCGTTAACCGTTCCCAAACTTGATCTCTGTTTTTCGGAACCGGGTCACCATAAACAAAAGTAAGATAAATTGTTTTTCCTTTAACCAGAACTTTAACATCAATTAACCGCTTACTTTCATAAACAATAGAAACATTAAAATCATTATTATAATAAAGAGCTAAACCACCACTACAACCGATAGGATCAACCGTTTTTAAATTTTTATAACCAAAATGACCGATAAATTTTTCCATAAAAAGAGAAGACTGTTTTGTTTCTGAAAGAAATAAAAAATCTGGTCGGTGTTGTTTCCAAATATCCCGAAGATAACCGATAGTCGTCTTATTCCCGAGCCTTTGACAAAAATCTTGATAGTATAAAAAAATCTTGTTGTATTTGTCATTGCTAGATAAA